CTCTTTTTTGTGCCAAAAATTTGTTTTGTACTTGGAAGATTTTAATTTCCTCATGTTTACCATATCTGGAAATTTGGGAAATTTTCATCTTTTAAACTTCTATTGTTTTTTTCACCCCACTGAAAGTTTTGGGTTGATGTCGCCGGGGCCCTTTGCAGTGTTCAAGGGAAAGACACTGTCATGCAGATTGGGGTTCATCTGAAAAGGGAAAGACACGGTGTGTGGCACACCCTTGTCATGTCGGATATGAGGATGAGGAACAGAGGGAGTAGTCTGTCCTTGTGGAACAACCCTTTTCCCCCCGGTTGTACTCCCTTTTTGTCTCCCCTATTTGTGGTTGCAGGGGTGAGCCCTAGCCCCCTGGCCCGCCCCTTTACCCTTCTATAAGCCCCTCTCTCCCCGCTCCATGAGTTTATCAAACCCCCGTTTTAAAAAAAGTGTAGGTTCCCGCCTCCCCTACGTCATTTTCTAGCTATCCACTGCCTTACAAATCTAGATGAAGAAAAACTTCCACTATTCTCTACTCATTTGTGCCCTTTAAATTCCAATTGTGGCCTTTGTTTCTGTGTCCCCCCCCCGGAACACCTGTCTTTGCCACCTTTTTATTCCACGCGTATTTTATATGTCGTTTTTATGTTCCCTGACCCCCCCGTCCTCCCCTGTCGTCAGGCCCATTTCCCTTTTTCTTTCTCAAGGAATTCCCCTTAGCTCTGGAACAAACCCTTTTCCCCCCCTTTTACTTTCTTAGTTTCTTGACGTGCTTTATCAATGCGGGTTTCCCAAACAGGTGCGCATACCAATAGGGGCCCGACTTTCACGGGGTACAGTGCCTTGAATGATTCCTTACTAAAGGGATCGGAATTTCTGTTCTAGGTTTGCCCGGCGCCCCCAGCGCAGCAGTTATCTGATTTATGTGGCTTCGGGACATTCGGTGTTATACTCACCCAAGACTTTCCCCTTTAGTGAGGGTTTTCAGTCTTGGCCCCCTTTGCTATACTCTCTGTTCTTCTGTGCCCCCTTCCCTTTTTCATGACTTTGCATTTGGGGGATTAAATTCGAGAAGCCATTTGCTGGGCCAGGTCCCCGTCTGTCCCGGTCTCTTTGAAGTCCTGCCTGGGCCTCATCAGATTTAATTTTCATTAATTCACAATCTGCAAACAGGGAACCCTTTGGTCTAACCCTTCCGTCTGTCGTTACATATACCAAAATAGCACTGGCCCAGGGGCCGACCCCTTGGGACCCCCCCTCGTCACAGGTCCCACTGTGTACATCATTACTCCCTGATCGTTGTTGCCTCCCTGTCAGGTACTCTGTCCATT